CCTAATTCTTTTTTTACAAACCTTAGATAACGAATTGGTGAGCATCCTTTTATGTGCGTGAGGCATTTAACTTCCTGATGAAAAATCTTAAATATTTCGAATGGAAACTGAAAGAGTAGAGAATAAAAACTGTTAAAGACAATATTTGTTTTCTTCAACATTGATATAATACGCATTTAAAAATATTTAAGGGACCCAAATGATACTACATCTTAGCTGATAAATACGATAACATTTTGTTACACTAAAATATTTTAACTGTTGTATTTGTATAAAAGCCATACAGATCATTTTAAAACAAAATTGTCCTTGATTGTATCTCATGTTAAGTTATGATGAAACAAAAGAACAATAACAAAGAAAAACTTTGTTAAACATTTTTATTACAACAGAGAGACACCTGGCTATGTTTTGTTTTTCTAATAGTAAATAACTTTTGAACTTTTTAAAAAATTGTCAATGTTAGACTTCGTGCAATTTCTCTTACATTCAATACATGTACTTGATGTTATTTTCATTACTATAGATAAAGACAATAGAAGTACAATTAGTTTAGATGTCCCCTAAATCCCTTATTTTAGCAAATGTAGCTATATTTTATGTATATCTCTGGCGACCCTTCGGCCAAAGACCTGCACTCGGTGAACACTAAAAATAAGCCGAGGTACGCCACTGATCTAACACCTCCATTGTATTCAAATTACAGTCATCTAAAATATTAACAATGACATAATCAACAACGCTAGACCGTTTTTTATTTCTTAAGCAGCAGTGATACGTGAAATCACATTTTTCTAATCTAATTTTTCATTCTGCTTACATTAAGAGAGTAATTTTATTCCAAACGGGTTACATATTTTACCAGCAGATTGTCTTATAGGTAACATAACATCATTCATTTCTGGCATGTCCACAAGTCTCTGTAAATTTATATCTTCAACAAAGTCTGGGTTTTCCTGTGTTCGACTGTGTCTGACTATCACAATGTGTTTCATATCGACTAAAATCGGCACTTATTTGACTATGTAGATCACATTAAAAAATATCGAATTTTCATTTTATATACAGATTATTCTTCCGGAGGAATATATGCTAATCAGAAAAAACGCATCACGGGCTAGATAGCATATTTCATTTTTGATCTTAAACCACAATATACCTCTATTATCGGATTTAACAAGGTCAATATTTCGCTTAAATGACTTCTGTAATAAACATTTAAACCTCCGCTAAAACGTTAAGCCTTTTTATTAGTTTTATGCCTAGCACAATGGAAATTCAGTCATCCTTCAATGCATACATTCGATGTTGAAGAAGTTAATGTTTCAGTCAAAATAATAATTTCATATCTGTTTATAAAAGTAAAAAAACATTGTCATCTAATTTATTTCGGAGACCTTGGACATTCCACAAGATAAACGTAAACTGTTCCTTCGTTATATCCTTCTTATGCATATCTTCAGGTGAATTACTGGTTGATCATTGACCTCGTATGACAAGCCAATCAAACGAAATAATTGTGTCTTTTCCCTCTTCTCGTGCTTTGAGAATTAACGCCTTCCGTGTTTCTCGCACGTTGTCTAGATATTGGTCACTAATCCGATAATCGTTATTGTTCAACAACATTCTAGCTTGTTGTTTATCTTGGGGGTGACTGCATTTTACTACAATGGGGCGTGTTTTGTTTGACAGAAATTTCCCTATTCTATGAGCACGATCAAATGTTATGTTTTTCTTAGCATCTGACATTTTTAGATTATTTTCACTAATGTTGAGAATTTCAATGAACAGTTTTCATCTCGTCTGTTGTTAGCTAGGGTATCCTCTGGAATGTTAAAGAACAACAAATTGTCCTTCATCGATCGTACTTGCAATTCTACAATATCATCTCCTTATTTGGAGTTGCTTTGTTTCAAATAATTCAGTTCAACTTGCATGCTATTACATCTTTGTTTTTCATCGGAGAGAATTTGTCTATATATTTGATCTCATTGCATATGTGGATTAAATGAACTGTTTTTTTCAAGTTCCATTATTGTTTTATTCGAATCAGACATTTTGGATTCAAGAGTAGTGATTATATGATTAATTGAAGATATCTAATAGTTAACAACAGATGAAAAAGCAAAATGTAAATTTGAAGTATGTGGCAAAGAACTATTGAAGCGCTTTAAACACGTTACGTGTAGTTTATGCAGTTGGGAATAACGAAAAGTAGTGCACTGTAACTCTCTCGTGATCATAAAATAAGGTTGCGTTTTTGTTTTTTTTTTTTCGATCTGATAAAATTATTGAAATTATCATGTTTCGAGGGAAAATAAGAATATTTGTAACTGAAATGTGTTGGTATTAATGATTCTAGCATAAATGTATATTTTCCTTCTAAAAAAAAAACCCACCTTATTCTTCATGTACTTAACAATTTTACACAATCACGTTTTTGTTGTGTACTTCATAGAGCGTAGGTTACAATAACCGCATTTTTAGAAAAAAAAAGATACTCGGCCGAAGTAAAACTGGTTGATTTTGATATGTCAATTCTTAGGTTTCATGCAAAGCCATATTGAAATGTTGGCATGGCTTGCATAACAATAAGATAATAATTTCTTGTAGGGTTATCAATCTTAAAAATCGGAACACTTTAAGAGTATGTGTTTCTGTGTTTCGTTAAGTGAGTTCAAAATCAACACCAAAATGTACACAGTCAGTAAGGCAATTATATTTATAAATACTTGATTGATATGCAAAAATATATATATAAATATAAATATGATTTCAATTGAACAGATCAATAATCATATAATATATTAGAAACTTATAAAACATCATAATCTAAGGGCACCTGATAAGTTCTTTTTTTTTATTTTTGAACAAAATTTAAAACTCAAGTCTTGTGTAAAATAAACTCAGTAAGTTATTAAGTAAAATAAATTGTTTACTATAAAAATGTAATGCGATCTGGATGCAAAAAGTATGTTAGATAGAACTTAAATATCTGAGCAATTGAACTAGAAAGTTTATTGACTATCCTCTACATTTTTTATTTATTTTAGAATTATCCTTTACTGTTTATGACATATCGGCAATAACTATACATTACATTTTAGAATCACAAGAACTATCATTAACATTTTATTTTAGAATTGCCAACAAGGTTCCAAGATTTCATTTTGTAATTTTGAAATAACCTATGAAAAAATTCTTCTCATATTAAGTTCTTCCATTTGAAGTTCACAGGGGGTCAAACGGAAAATAGACCGGCCTAAACAATAAAAAAAAATAATAATAATAAAAGATGCGAAAAATGGAGTATTGGAAGTAAATATTGAGATTATCGGTCTAATAGTAAACAAATACAGACAATAAAGTCGCCGAGGAAATGTGACGTGGATATTTAAGTAAGTGAGCCTATTACTCAGTCACATTCTGTTTTATATGAAGAGGAATTACACAGTGCATGTGATAGTATAGTTCAGATACTTTTATAGTCTTTCTACGAACAAGATAAGTCCGTCACTAATTACATCACCAAACATGGCGTCAGGAAGTCATTGTGAAAACATGTCACACAAATACGATATAATGTTTATTTCGAATATAAGAAAAGATGAAAACAATTTTTAAAGAAATGACTGTTTGAATCAATCTTGATACATTAAAATCGCACATTCTGTAAGAATTTTATAGCAAGGTGCAGGATCGGACCTCTGTGATGAAACTGCAATGAATGTTAGTCAAGATCCAAACAAAACTGATAGTTTCCTGATAGTCCAAAATATTTAGACGTAAACGTTGACATCTAGAAATATATATTTACAATTGTAAACAAAATTTAAAAAAACAACGTGCACAGTCATTCAAATTTCCCTGATAAAATGTTACAAATAAAGCTTGGTATTCACAATTCTAGCATAAATGTATATTTTCCTTCTAAAGAAACTGCCTTATTCTTCATGATTATTCTTTTAAACGGCTTTACACAATCACGCATTTGGTGCGTACTACACTAAGTAGTGATTACAGTAACCGCATTTAACTGCGTTTGCATAGATTAGGGATTAATACAGAAAAAGAAATCTCAAAATACTGTTTTTTTTTTTCAGAAGTGAACATAAATATTACATTAATTCACGTAAGGCATGGTCAATTCTAGAATTGAGATCATTTTCAGTGTTCTCATTATAAACAACATAATAAATTTTTGTTCGTAAGCAAGCAATCCTCGTTCACAACCGTTACGAAGAATTTGACAGAAACGAACTCATGAGGGAGTTAAGTTTCTTTGAGAAGGCAGTCACACGATATACAAAAAACGAGCAACATTTACATGAGGAACATGCACAAAGGAAATTGCAGCATCATTCGCATGCCTTATTCGTAAATGGCATAATTAAAGTAATTAAATATGCACATTCTGAGTCCTCTTTGACAGACAGATAAGACCTCCGTGAATGCTTCTGTAAAAGAAAATAATATATGAATATATGAGAATAGTCTTAAATGGGACTCCATTGACGTTTAAAAGCGTAAAAACATGACACTTGAATTTAAAACAAAAATAAGCTGGGACACTTTAAACAGAAATATATGCAAAGATAGTTAAGAAGTATACTTTGGAAATAAATGGAAATTCGTATTTTTATACTATTTTAAGCCCGATTGATGAAAAGCGTGTAAACGCTTTTCATTTTGGCCGTTTTTTTACAATTTGAATAATTGTTTTTGAAAAACGAAGTGCACGAATGATCTGAAATTTTGCACAAAGATTAGTGCTCTTAACCAACATCAAATGGTACATTTGTCTGACAAAAATATATTTTCAGTCTATCATGTCAAAAACACATCAGTGGAGTCCCTTTAAGATTATATTTCAATACAATACTGGAAGAAGATGTTTAAAACTAAACAATAAACACTTAATTGTCACCGAACCCTACAAAATAACACCATAAAATCACCGAGTTACAAAACGTCAGATAAATTATAAACAGTCAATAGGCATGTAGAGCGGGTACACGTAACTCTATACATGCGCATCGAAAACGAAAAAGAAAGAGCAAACAAACAGGTAGTTATTATACATTGTATTGACAATGGTTTAAGATTTCAGAAGCCGATGTTTATAGTGGTTAACAGGTTTATGAAACGGCTCAAAACAGGTAAAATTTAAGTTCTTTTATCAAGGTTTCTTAAACACATTTCTTCATTTCTAATACAGAAATTATAATTTACTTACATTCGGATGATTCCCTATCTGTTCGCTTGTAATGAATAAATCAATATAAATTTTTGTATCAATCTATAAAAACGACATGTGTATGTGACTTCATAAAATTTTGGTCAAAGATTATTCCTTCCTGTCACAGATGACCACGATTGTCAGAAATGACTGAATACTTTAAATAGTACTCTTAATCAAGTGTTATAATTGTAAGAAGAAATGGATGGATAAATATCTTTTCTTTAAGCAGGGACATCTTTTAAATAAATTGTAACACCCAGTTTACCTGCTTAACATCTTAAATTGGTGTGTCCATCTTGAAATGATTTCGTCCCGATTGAAAGATGGACACACCCATTAAAGATGTTAATGTTATTGCATTGGCAGATTCTTAAGCTGTCAGCAGGTTTAAGTTAGACAACTGACATAAAGATTATGGAACACTTTAATATATGTTTAATTAACAAGTGATCACTTATGTTTACTAATTTATATCAACAAGATCCATTATAAAGAATAGATTTTATTCGATTATAGGCTGTTATTATTCCTTGTTAAGGTCAATGTCACAGTAAAGGAATTTTTAAAGTTAATTCAGGTTATATTCAAATTTTATTCTTTTTACTGCTTTAAATTTGTTTAAATATACATTAATTTCATTTCATTTACAAGTCAAATACTACTTTTCTTAAAATAATTTTAAATCTAGAACCATTTTTGTCTAAGTAAAGTAAACTACTCTGGTAGCAAAATTAAATGTTAACAATCATTGTTAACGTCTTTTATCTAATTAGCTGTAATTTGAAACCAGCTATTCTCTTTAAAGTTTCTTTGTGTTTTGTTCTGTACTTTTTTATTGAAGTTTAAGTAGAGTGTTTTTTGGAAGGCCTTATTGTTTTATATCATATTGCCTTTGTATATTACATTGTTTTATTATTGGTTTTAAAAGGACACGGCTTTAGCTACGTGTACATTAAATATAAACATAAGCTCTATTTGAAATATCTTCTGATTAACATTTTATTTTTATTATTATTTTATTATTATTATTATTATTATTATTATTACTATTACTATCATCATCATCATCATCATCATCATCATCATCATCATCATCATCATCATCATCATCATCATCATCATCATCATCATTATTTTCATTTACTTCAATATATTATGATATTTTCAACATTTGTAACAATCAATATAATTCCTATTTCATACAATACTACATCTTACTTATATTAACTATTACAATTGAAATAATAGTTTCATTCTACTCATTTTTTATGTAATCCTTGCAATAGAAGGGTTGTCCAAAATTCCAAGGTTGACAAATGGTCTTGTTTTCCAGCATTTAGACTTTAGATAGCTCACTCGGCCTAACAAGATCAAAGGTTTTCTGCAAATTAAATTCTGATCCTTTATTTATACCCAGCTGTTTAAGATTTTATTCCAAATACAACATGATCTATAATAAGGCTTCATTTCCTTTGCAGTTAATTGCACACACTACCATGTAGAAAAATGGACGGCATCAACACATTTGTTTGATTGGACACAAATAAATTATGACCATCCAGTCATCTGTATTTTTAAAATATGACCTAACGATCAGTATCATATTCCTAGATTTTCGCTAGTAGCAGATGGATATGCGTGATTATGCTCACAACATCAGTCCTTTAAACGCTAAAGGAAATCAATTTGCTTTTAAGAACTCGTTCTCTCTATCAGGAGCACCTCTCAAATTGCCCATTACCATCCTTGTCAGACGTTTGCTATAAAATTCCGAGAGATGACAATCGAAATGAACAGAAGACTTTTTCAACTTCCCTGTTATGTGTCTTTTTAGGTTGGAGATTCACTTTTTTTTAGTTTGAGGTCCGTAAAAAACTTGTATCATTATCTTCCGTATTGGTTTTGGATTGCGACATATTTAAAAGTGTTTAAATGTTTGTTTTGTTGTTTCAGAAAAATGTCGGAGATACCGGAACGCCACAGGAGATTACATTCACAATTGTTACACGATTGTAACTTTAATGATAAACTAAATGAAACTCTTGATGATATTGGTGTTAATAATGACATGGTTCAGAGGCGAAGACAGAATGCCCTTCTCCATGAGAATATTGGAACAGTAATGGCAATGTTGAAAGGATATGATAGGCCGGTGTATAATTTTGGTAGTCGCTCTGAAGGTACGACAACACTCGATCTACAATCAGATGCCGACAGCCTTTACCGTGTACCAGGCATAAACGTGGTACAAAGTTTGCAAGAGTTTGGACCAGAAGATACTAAAAATTACGCTATAAATCTCCTGATGATTCAAGGTGATGATATTGCTCCTGGATACTGTCATCTTGAAGTGATTAATGAAGATCTTAGATTGTCAACCATCGACGTTACGGAAGTAAATGACCATTACGTCAGAGGGAAAGATGATCGTATCTACTACAAGAATACTGTAATGAAAGATTTTATGCCTGGAAAAGGTGAAAGGCATGGGCCTTCCTGGGCCGAAGAGGGTCAAATGGGAATAACTGATCAAGACACTGTTGCTGGATTACACTGTAAATCTTGGCCATTCCAAGCAAGAGACTGGATAAATGAAAGTAATCAAGTAGGATGGCCATCAGACACACTGAAAAGAAAATGCATGAAATATGGTTGTTTTGTTGTTCCTACCGGGAGTAGTCTAGGAAAAGAATTTGAATGGAGAATTTCTACTTCCCTTGCGGAACGACATCTTATGTTTAGCCTCAACATAGTACAACTAAGATGCTATGTACTAATGAAAATGTTGGTAAAAACCTTCATAAAAGGAGGCACAATTTCAAGCTTCATGTGTAAAAGCGTTCTGCTACAATGTGTAGAAAATTCGCTGCCTTATGAATGGAAAGAAGCCAATCTATCACAATGCCTAGATAAATGTTTGAAGAAATTGAGAAGGTGCGTAGATGAAGAAAACTGCCCTCATTTCATAATACCAACAAATAATTTGATGGCTGGCAAATTTTTGGAGACGGTAAAGTCAGATATACTTAAAATGTTAGGATACGTCATAAGCTACACTCGCCTTGTACTAGCTAATGTAATAACACTAGATGATCTAAATATAAGGTTAAGCAACAAACTCGGCTTATCCACTGATCCTTGCTCTATGACACCACTCCAAATAAGTAGTCATTTGAAAGCAGAACGCTTATTGGACACTGCCGTAATTTTGCGTGGTTACCAAAAAATACATCTCAGACATACGTGTATGTATTACAAAAATGAAGAATCGCAGGAGGATTTTCAAAGACGGTCTCTCAGAACTCTTGACCAACTAACAAACAAAGAAGATGAAATTAAAAGAGAGGTTTACACACTTGTGTCACCGTTTCTGTCATCCTTATTGGGGTCTTTGCAAGCTGCTCGCGTTGAAAAGGACTCTGATATTTCAAAACTGCTTGAAGCAGAGGACTTGCTCATTCAAGGTTGTGATTCTGATGTTTCCTCGGGCAGGCTTAAACTTGCCTCATATTTTTATTGTTCAGGAAAAATAGAAAGTACAGAATCTATACTGAATGAAACCGAGGGTAAGTACGATAGAACTTTAGTAATACCTATTTGTAGATGTTATCATGGGCCGATGGATAATGGAAGCGTAAACGTCGCCAAGTTTCAAGAAGAGAGAAATCAGGGGGTGAAGAATACAGTAGCGTTTTGTGTTATATTTCTCCCAGCTGAGATTAAATGGATACCCAAAGAATTGCAATATGAATTGTATCGGATGACTAGTGAGAAACCGGGAAAGAGTGATGAGGTAACCTGGATGGATTGGGCTGTCGTTGATTCCCTCCCTTACCTTCATTTCCTACAGTACAAAGTTAATAAACATTTTCACGATGAAGGCGGTGAGCAAAGGGCGTTATTAGATATGGAACAGTCAATTGACAGAACACGGAACCTTTGTCACCGAGAGACAGCATTAAACCTGCTTGGTCAGTGTATGGAACAGAATAATCAACCAATAAAAGCTTTGCAATGCTTCTCAAAGTCACTGAGTTTGCAACCAAGAAACAATGCAGCGAAAGTGCTCATTTGCATTTGCCTTGCAAGCCTGTTTCAGAATAAAGATGAAGTCACAAAAATAATATATCAACGAAAAATGGAGCAAAACTAATGGATTTGAAGACTGTAGCATCACAATACTTCTACATGTTCACATAAATATCAAAACTATGTCGATTGAAAAATTAAAAAGAAAGTATGGTAAAATATGTTCATGGAATGAATTTCAAATAATGGTTTTATTGTAATCACGCATATTAATTGTACTGTTTGACTGTACTACAGGAAAATATATATACGGTATGGTACATGTTTATGGAGAATGGCATAAAAAGGAAAATATTTATTCTTCTCTGCATCGTCCCTCTGTTATTCTTTAATGTTATTATGCATTTATTCAAAGCGGTCGGGATGTTGTCAAACTTTTACTATTTGATCTTCAAAAAAAAGATCACCTGGATGAATCAGATACCGAACAAAAGTTTTTTTTTTAAAACAATGTCTGTTCCACGCCTTAAATGACAGACGAAATAACTTTAATTTACCCGGATGTAAATGCACTGCAAAATCTAATCATATTGCGTAATCATATTCATGCAGGGTTCCTTCCTAATGAAATTACAGGTGAATGTAACTTAAAAAGAAACCAACCCATTCCATGTTTTATTACAACAGTGTTATTGAATATCGACGACGGGTATATAATTGCCGCCATGTCGGTTTCGGTATTGCTGTCCACAGAGATGTCAAAATTCAAGCAAAACGTGGTGCTCAAAAGGTCGAACACTATCAAATAAATTCAGATGATATAAGCAATGTGTTTGAAAAAAAAATGTTATCCCTAATACACAATAAATTATGACTGTGAACTGTGAAATAATCAAACATTGAATGAGTTTAGAAACTGAAGAAAAGTGTGTATGTTTGTATGCCAAACGTATACAAGACTTCAGTCAAGGAAAAAGCATGGATATCGCAATCAGTTTGATATGTTGAAAAAAGAAAATAACCTCCTCCCGCGTTAAATAAATGAAAAAGATAATGAAAAAAAAAACTATGAACAAAGAGATATTCCGGCAAGACAATTTTCCAATCTCATATTTCAGTTTTATTAATGAAAACTTTACTATTATATAGGATTCTTATCTGAAATATTTATAGTCCATATATTATATAATTTAGCATGGTTACCTATGCAATAAATGCAAAATCACGTGTTTTTGCTTCTAAAAATAGAAATCGTTTTCCGGTTCTGTGATTTGAGAAAACATGTTTGAAGACATAGACTTTATAGGGACCTTAAACTTGATAAAGTCTACAAAATGCAAGGGCTAACTTTGTGTATATAAAAAGGAAAAGAAATTGACAGGTGCATCATATGTCCTTATAATGTTAAGTTCAAACAAGAAATATACATGTGTGCTAAGATGTCCATCTAACATCAACAAAACATCACACCGTTTAAACAACTAAATTATCTTCAATGTTGTTTATTTCAATATCTTAACAGGACGTGCATTACGCCGGAAAAATTGACACCATGATGGATGCACAATAAGTGTATATGTAAATCATGATGCAAATTTATGTGCTTATCCTGTATTTGAATTAATGTGTGTATATATACAAATGATTATTTTATTAAGTTTACAATATTTTACTGACTTTTAACTTTAAATAGTAGTAATACATGTACAATGGCAAGGTGAAATATATAATTGACAACAATAATGATTATATTGTATGAGATTGGTACAAAGCAGCAGAACTTTCATCAGAATCGGCTAGCGCCTTGTGAAAATATAGTTCTTACAGCTGCCGTGCTCCTTTCTAATAGGATTCAGTATTGTACCCAACAGTGTATGGGTATCACATAGTATTGGATACAGAAGGATATTATTTATCATTGTAATGTTAGCATACATGTATTTAGTTTATGACATGGACAACACAGTTTATTGTTGAACTTCCCTGATTTTCGATAACTTCCTCATTCGTAATTATACTTAGTATTTGATCACTAGTGTTTTTTCACAGATTTTACTATAACTTCCTTATTCGTGATATTACTAAGGCTTTGATCACAACTTAGCTTTTTTATTAACTTCCTTAATCGTATTTTAACTTGCAATTCTTTAATCACAAATCTAATAATAACGTCTGGTCCTTACTTCGTGCTTGTGTGATCTATTTGTATTCGTGAACCTGCTGGGTTTCCTGCATGTGGTCCTGTGATACTGACATTTTTCGGGGGCTATTTTTAGTTAAATGCGTGTTTTCTTTGTTGATATTTGCTCTTGTAGTCTGTTTAAGTCTGGTATCTGAAAACTGAATACTCATTATTGAGTATATATCCCCTTCACCGTTAGACTTGTACACTGAAACAAGCATTTCAATTCACGATAATTTATACTTTCCCCCTTCATCAATACTTACACTTATAGTGTGTGAAGAAATATTAAACCATATCATATGTAATCTATAAATCTATAATCTATTAAGATATAGATATATCACTGATTTTTTATGTATACTCATATATTGTTTTATATGCATGTTGAGTTATTAATGTTCAATACAATAGTGACAACTAGTGTAGCAAAAATCGCTTGTTGTTAGTTTAAAATAGAATGAACGAAGTTATATTTGTTTTCTCCAGACAGAGTGTTAGTTTCTTCAGAAAATTTGGTAGCTTTCAAAATATCTAAAGCAATGTACGCGTAAGACTACAGGCATGGGGAAAAAGGATAGTTTATAACTTTTGAAAATGAAAAAGACATATTGTTTAGAAAGCTGAATGTGTTTTTATTTATAATCAAGTACGACTAAACTTTTATTATTCTTATCATAGAATCACTGTGACAAAATGAAAGAAAACCGATTTCTATCATTTAAGTGACAAGACTACTTCCTTCACGACAAAGCGGGCTTGACAAGTAAATAGCATATATTTCGTTTTAGTTCTGATTTAAAGTTGATTTCATTCTAGACGTAACATCCACTTTTAACAGATTGATGTTTAAAATGAACATAAGAGGCAATAGCATTATTTACTATATTCATGCAAGAATTCATCAAATTTCTGGAAAGTTGATAACCCCCATATGAACACATCTGCGGATGTTTGAAACTTCAAAACTGTACCAGATCATGTTAAATGTTGAATATTGCTGAAGCCGTAATAGGGTCGTGGACGGTAGCTTGCAATTACCACTACCGTCTTTCAACAGCCTCAATGAAGCCGAGCCTGCAACATTTTCCTTTTGTTTCAATTAATATTGTTACCACACATACGTGAAATGTTATATATGTATATAAGTATGCTTCTAAAACAATTTTAATACGTCGAAGAATATATAAAATACATAATGCAAATATTTGTCGACATCATATGTTATCATAAAAATGCATGCATCCAGTAATTATTTAAAAAAATGATTTAGACTTTATAGAAAATACATGTCTAATTACCTCCTATTATTAACATGAAAATGTAAATTTGGTAATATATTTACAAATAATGTATTTTGGAACCTACATTATTTATAATAATGATATTCGTTGAACGCCACCCTTCCGTGTTGATCTTGTTTATCATATTTTATATTTTGTGTGTGTTATCCTTGGTATAGCTATGCACTACATGGATCATATTACATTTTTGTATGCAGCATCTTGGTTTATGCATGTATGCATCATGTGTTGTTTTTAACCATCTATGTTCCATTGTAACATACTGAAATTAATCTACCGATCTACTAGGAAGTGCAAAACATGTGTGCCCTTTAACGTGGGAGTTTGAGCTTTTTTGGTATTTTTTTTGCGTGAAACACGCAATACTGAAAAATCCTATTCTTTTCCGAACAAATTCTGATCTTTAAATAAAGCATTAGCTTTACCCTGATATAAAATATGCCGAGGGTTACATTGCAAACAATCGTTTATATACTAGGTCATACATGTATAACTTGTCAGGAATATTTATAACGAATTTGAATTACAGCAAATTTCCTCATTTAGACTATTGTCCGCTACAGCGCCGTTATGTTTCTTATTCCGAATTGAAAATGGACATTAAAGCCGATTAATATTCTATCATTTTTAAAGAAATCATTAAGATGTAATTGTGAATAATAATTGAAAAAATACATGACTCAATTTGACTGAGTTCTGCTGTTTAATCTTTCCCAATGATCTCTTTTCCAGATATAAATTAGTATTCCAAACCGTCAACGAATGTTAACCACTTATTTAAGGTCAATCAGGTAACAATCTGTCAAGATGGCGGCGGGGTGCTAAATTTTACAAATATCTGAAACTTTTAGGTTTATTTTTATATTCCAAATAGGGCTTCATTATAAATACTTTGCTTACCACATTGAATATATCGTGGTATCGGGATAAACTTCTAGTTATATTGCTTATTGACGGGATATATAAAGATAACGCCTGATTCATATATAACATGACTCATATATATATTACACTATTCCTACTTTTTGAGGTAATGATATTTGATTCGCAACATATGCAATAAAGAATAAAACTCAATATTTAAGTGTATGAACACACGTGTAAAGGATGTGGCACTACATTGATATTTAAGCGCGACCCGGTTCTTTCCAAAAAGCATTAATTGTGAAGATATTACCGAATTTACATTTCATATGAATAAAGGGAGGCAATTAGAAATTTATTTTCTTTAAAGTCTAAGTCGAATTTTCCAATAAGAACTGAATGCATATATTTTAATGATTAGATATTATGTGTACAAATATTTGCAGTGCATATTTAACATATTCTTCGATGTTTGAAAATTGTTTTAGAAGCATAATTATATAAATAAAATTTCATTTAAGTGTGGTAACAACATAAATTACAACATACAGGATCCTAAAATATCCACTCAACGTTTACGTGCACGTTTGCATTTTATTTATGTTAATGTAAGATGGCTATTATTCCATAAATTCAACGGACAAGTAACCTAATAAAAACTTTGAACCGATTTAGTGGTTATGTTTAAACCTTTATTCATTGGTAAACTTGAAAAGAAAAGTTGTGCGTCAATATTTGTATTCTTCCTTCTTCCTAAAACATCTATTACTTACGGAAACGTACGCACTTGAGGCTGGTAGTTTGCGGTAAGTTATTTTTTTAATGTATTAATTTAAGGAAAAATAGTTATAAGAAAAAGATGTAAAGAATAATAAGTTTGTTTTTTCTTAAAGCATTTTAGCTTATTTTTATCATTTTGGACCTGTATTTACAATAATCAAGGTTTCACGAACATTATAATTATGTTGCTTTATTTGCTAGTGGTAAATATTCAGTTTTATTTATTAAGTATTTTTTATAAGCAGAAGATAATTGCAAGTAACATCTTTATTGACTAAAACATAAATAATGTAACAAAATGATAAAAATAATGTTAACAATTAAACAAAAAATGTAACAATTAAAATCCACGTGAACAAATTTATATCTCTCTTTAACAGGATTATTTTTGCCTCTGGGTGAAATGTTGTCTATCTCATGACTAAACGAATTACACAGGGTTTTCGAAATAATTTCAAAGATGTACTCCTTCTTTATTTGTTTTCTATTCATTAAAAAAGAGCATGTATGCTTACGAGTTATTGGCTATCATGTGTTCCATCTTCAGTCATATTCATGTGCAAATTGATTAGAAAATTACATATTATTTGATTCGTAGTTTTACTTTTCCAGCATATATTTGCTTTATTTGACTTTATTTGATTCGAAAATGTAACATATTTGGTACGTTGTACTTAAAGCTGCATGTCTCCAGATGAGTCAAACTATTTCAATAAAATCAAACTTGAGAAATATGAACTAAGACTTTAGGAAAAGAAATATGATTCAATATTTAATTAATATTTTACATGATATATGCGAATAATGACTGATTTTTCAGTATTTTCAACTATATTTCTACTGCGTTACTAACGCAGTAAGGGTTATTTATGCACATTTTGAACAATTTTTGGTAACTGATTTACGTTGGTGGTGAGTGCCATTGATAATGTGTGAATTGCTTCAATTTGTTTATGTGTCACGATTTTAAATTCAAATACATTTTCAATCTTTTCACGAAAATAATCATGATTCTGGAGGCATGCAGGTTAAAGATGCCAATCAAAATCAAATAAAATGTTATTACAAATACAGCTTAGAATTCTTTAATCATTTGTTAATATAATCATTTATTTACATATCATAATATCAAATCCGAATGAAAATTTCATATCGTAATATAAATAAATGAAATTAACATTGACTTATCCGAGTATGCAACGTTACGAATTTTTAAGTTTTTCAAATCATATATGTTTTTTTTTTTTGTTTTTTTTTTTTGACAAGAATGATTTGTTTTGCATTTGTATAATATCTGAATACATGAGAGGACTTTTCACTGAAAAATCATGTATTCGGCATAATTGGCAATCCATTGATACATCATTAGTTTACTAGAGTATAGGTATTAGTTACCTGCACTCCAGAATTAACTAGAGTGTAGGTATTAGTTACCTGCACACCAAAATTAACTAGAGTGTATGTATTAGTTACCTGCACTCCAGAATTAACTAGAGTATAGGTATTAGTTACCTGCACTCCAGTAACTGCACTGTCTGTCAAAGGTCAATTGCTTAAATGTACAAATGAGATACTACATTAAAGTTAACTTGAATTTTCCGAAGGTCATTTTTTATCCTAGGCAATTTTGGATAAAAAATCCACTAACAATTTCACACTGTATGACAATATATAATTTCGTTTTTTACTTACTTGATCTGTTAGTTTCTATTGCGCTCACTGACTTCTTTGTTAGAGATGTAAATAAGTAGGGTATAAAGAGAGTGATTGTATCTATAAATGAAACGTGACTTTTTACTTTGGTGTAATCATACAAAGTATAAAGAACATTCATTCAGTCAACTCTCTCATGTTTACTTTGATGGGATGGGGATTGCATATAGTCGGGGTCAACGTCTGTCGTAAAAATCATATAAGCCCTATTTAGGTGGTACTCTTTCTTCATGTACTATTTATTGACTTATAAGTACAAATAGATTTGTAATATCATATTATTTGATCGTTTTTTTATTGTTTATCTATACAAGGAAAACCGTTTTAATTGCAAGGTGGTCAAGAAGCTGATCTGAAGCGAAGAAACATGCTTGTAAAAGGTTAGTCTCCTAAATTGTTATACCTGTATATTTATGTTTGCTTTTTAAAAAGACAAGTACATACACGTGTGCATAAACACACACACGCACGTTTGCACGCAAACAAACACAGCAACCTCTCCAACCTTTTGAAAATAAGAATAATAAAACTAGGCAAATGTTTAAATACTAGTATAAAGAAGATATATGAAACACTTATTGCCTCAAAGTGGCCAATTATGACAGGAAAATAATTTGTTTTATTTTGTCAAACGAAACGATGGTTAGAGATTAAATCTTATGAAAACTTTGAAACAAAGTCCTGTCAAATAAAGAAACAATAAAGTTATTGAAACAGGAAGTTTTGTATGGTTTAAAAGCTAAATTTAGAAAAGCGTTTGAAGATGTAATAGTCATCTCAAAGATACCATTTGTAACATCTTTTAACAAAAAAAAATGAATAAATAAATAACATGATTATGTTTTGCAGGTTTTATTATGCTGGCCGCATTATCTGCACTTAGTGGAACAGGTTCGTTGATCGTTGTTTATAAAGTTATAGTGTTATTATGTTAGTCAACTAGATTTTACAAACCTATAAAGTTATACTTAACCAAATAGACAACAAAACTGATACAATTCAAATAATATCACCAAGACTGATGTTTATTTTTACAACATCATTAACAAGGACATAGAAAGAAATGCGTATGCGTGTAAAAAAAATTATAGTTGTAGAGACCAAAGACAAAACAGTGTCGTCTCCTTCTCTCCTGTTATTGCTTCCTATTTTTATATGTCCTTAACTTAATAAATATTAACATTAACTGATTTCAATTTGAGAGAGGTTTAAGTGAAGAGAAATGTTTTATAAAACATGCATTTGTATATTCCCTCTTTTCAATGTTTTTCGAATGACTATGCAATTTTAATTCATAAGTAAATCCAAACGTATTTTATTTTATTAAGGATCTAGTGCTTGCACAGATGGAGTAGCCAGGCAGTATGCCTGTAAACTTTTGAACCTGGCTAACTCGGGAAGAATTGTATTGTGGAAGAAACATCCATCCGGGGTTCGCGACAATGCTTACGCGTATAACAATGTCAGAGATACTTGTAACGGCAAAGCTGCCGCACGATCACAGTACGTATAAACAAGAGCATATTTTTAATGATTTCATTAATTAATTGAACGAGTTGAATGAAATTATTTTATGCGAGCCTATGACGAAAATAAAGTTAATTTATTCAACGAGTTCAATAAATCCAGTAATTGGCCTTCACGAACGAATATATTGTTCTATCACATACCCTGTTTGAAGTTACAAAAAAATAATTAACTTTTTGATACACTTACAGTGTACATCAATTGGCGCATCTTTACACTTTGTCTGTTTAACGCAAATGATGGCACGGCTCTCTACTATCACTTTTACGAAGTCGCAAACGTGATGAATCTTTGAAAGAATTCCCGATTCCGCGATACCCGTCTGCATCTAGAGCTGCTTGTTCTATTATTTGTCATAATACCAAGCTTGAAGTGCAGACTCGTTGGCAATAATAACAATATTTTGGCGCTAGTATGATAAACAGTAATCTGAGAAAAAAAAAAAAAAAAAAAAAAAACTTCCAGAAGGTTAAGACATTTTTAAATAAAAAATGTATCTCATCTAGTTAATTTACACTTCACAAACAATTTCCTTCACGTTAGCGAGTATTGTTGGATTGTAGTTGAAATTTAGTGTATCCACATGTAAAAAAAACAGGAACACAACAACACAGCATTACTTACAGTCATTGTGTCAACTATTCAATTGAAAATCTAAAATAAAAATATGAAAATACAGGGAAACTATAGGAAAATATAATCTAAAATGTTCAGTAATGTTTGTCAACATTATCGAAATATATGCTACAAAATACAATATTTATAACATTCTGGAAGACGGGTGACCATTAATCACAATACAATAACACGATAACTGATTGGATTGAGTCTGTACATGAGGTGTAATGAAATTTTGCAATATTCTTAACACCCAATAGTACCGGCTTGAGCGGTACTTAAAGATACATTTAAGTAAATGGATTCGTAGCAGTGAAGGAGTCCCATGGCTTGCAATATTTTTTTCAGTTACAAATGTGCCGAATGCCCAAACCCTGGCGCTCCTGGAGGATATGTCTGTTTGCAAGGAACTTTACTACGCTATATCTATGCGGTCTATCGAAAACTTGGCTACATTCATGTAAGTTATGTACTTACTGGGCAAATAAATCTGAGCAGTTTATCTTGAAGTTTGTCCTGCATTCACAACTTTACTACGCTATATCTATGTGGTATATCGAAAACTTGGCAACATTCATGTATTTTTAGTACTTGACTTTCTTGACAAGTTATTCTTAGCAGTTTATCTTGAAAATTGTCCTGCATTCACAACGTCTGAAGATGCTAGCGTTTCTTTCCATCATCACAGGCGTGAACAGAACAGGGATGGTTTGGGATGACATTGTGTTGGTCTTTTAAGTTGTGTTGTTTTTAACATATTTTATTGTTTTTTTATTATAATAAAACATATTTTGACAAAATAACAGAGAAAAATGCGAAGCTTTGATCATAATCTATTACATGTTAAAGGGTGGGTATTGGAGGGTTGTTCCTATCCTAGACTGAAATAAATTAAGCAATATGGTAGATTACTTAAAACAAGTGACCAATCTTTTTTATTTTCTTTCAAACAGTACAAATGATCATTAATACGGCGAAACGTTTTTTAAAGGCACAAAGGGAACCTTTGCAGAAAAGGGAATTAAGGGAATGATGTCAAAAGGTTGCTTTAACTGTCGTCTTAACATATAATATGTGTACTTTACAACGAACATTTTTTGTAAAACTAGTAAATTAAAGACAAAAGATTGGTCTCTATTCTAACACTTTATTTGAATAACAACAGATTAAACAACAAACAATGACATGTGTTATTTTGTTAACAATTAAGTTGTGTTAATATTTTTATTGAAATCTACTTATCTTATATTAATAGGAATCAAACCGGTAAGGGTATATGAATTCTTTCAAATTTATCTTTATGCAACACTTAATTGTTTTCTATTTTTAATTTTTGATTTATTAGAAAAAAACTTGTAGTGGAAAAAAATTTTTTTGTGAAAGGGAACCATTCAAAATAAAAATCTAAAAATATTAATTATACTGTTAAAAACTTTTCAAGTCATTAAAACCATTTTAAAACTTTAGTCTAGGAAAATAGCCGAAAAAATGTTTTGATTTGGGATTTAAAAATCGGCGAAAAATCATAAAAATTTTAAAAAAATTTTCCACCCTTAGTGCAAAAAAATTTTGAGCAGAGTTTTGTTTGGGTGCTGGGTTAAAAAGGGGGGGGGGGCCCAATTTTTGGTAATGGGGTTAGGTTTATTCCAATGGAAAAAGATTTTTTACTTGACATGGCAATATTGATTTGGATCTTTTAAAAAGGGGAAATTTTTTACTCTGCCCCTTATAGTTTCCGGATTCAATTACATTTTAAACAATTTTATTTTCTTAAAAATATTCAGTAGCATACCTTTTTTAAACCCTTTTCCCTTTACCAAAAAAAAAATAGGACAGGAGATTAAGGGACTTCATTTCTTTTCAACGTTCCCGCACGGGGGTGGGGTCTCGCGTCAATGAAATATAAGACATAAAATTAATAAATGTTAATACGACAGGCTAGCTTGAATTCAGAATGAGCATCTTCGGAAGATTTGGGCCTTCGTATGGTAGATTAAAATGTAGTTATGAACGTTCGCCTTATTGTCATGGATCGGGGATATGGTTTCGATTTCCTTATATTAATAAATATGAGTTTGTGTCTTGTGTTTGCAGGTGAATGAAATTGCAGGTGCCTGTCACAGCTGTAAATCTAAGCATTACCTCGGTCGTGCTGTTGATCTACATAACCCACCCGGACAGTCAAGTACCATGCTAAGTCTGTGCAAGAGTATGGGAGGTTGGGGACAGAACGAAGGCAATCACGTGCATTGCGAGTTTTAATTCATAAACTTTTTGTGCGCTTATTTGCTAGTAACAAAATTGGAATAAATTATCAAAATGTGTTTCCTTTATATTCAGAGAAAAGAAAAAGAATATAATGTTTTATTAATAATATATATTTCAATCAACAACCGTCATTGTCAATGTAATGTGGTTCACCTTACATTTGTTATTTGTAAATTGTCATTTACATTTCCACTTTATATTAATAAAATTTCTTTCTTCCTTCCTTACTTACTTTAATTATTTATTAATTGATAAAATAATAAGTGTACATACATGTTATACCAAGCGATTTTTGGCTGGAAAAAGAAAATAGTCAAGTATTGGACAAAGATATTGTTTTTATTCTGTGTATAGGATGGCGAATTGTAAATTACTGTCGATCTTGACATATTTCTTTTGAAAGTTCGTATTTAAGCTGACGCTCCGTGTAAGACTGGATAAATGAAGCATGCATTTCACTCATTACAGTGTTGCGAATAGAGCAGTACCTCTAGACGCTTGCATAAATCATGATCACAATTTAGAAATGTATAAACTTGTTCGCCGATTCTTACATTTTTCATTCATACACGTATATAAATCGGTGTGAACAGATTAATTAAACGTCTTAAAGTATATTTCGGTGGGTTTAAAGCGAGATTTTAACATTTTATCATTCAAGCCTTGTCCGGTATATACCGAAATACGATATTCAGTGTGATGCATTATTTTACTTTAACTCATGGAGAGTACTTTAATAGAGTACATGTTTAATATATGAAACCGAAAGTTAAGAAGCTATTTCATAAGCTGTATAAATAATAGTTGATACCTATTTGTTATCTAAAATAGTTAAATAAATAACTTTTATGGTTATATTTTTTATAAAACATTGTTTTTGATCTATTTATCAGATAATAAAATGTATATTTAAATGTAATAACAGACGAAGCTCATGCTTATGTAGCAATTAAATGTATCCAGTAAACATTTTTAAAATTAAAAGGGACTCAACTGAGGTTTTTTTCTGACATGACGGAGTTGGAAATACATTGTTGTGATTAATGTTCTATTTGATGTAGGTCTTGACCAATAATGTTTAATAATGAGACGAGGGAATTTGTTATGAATGATCGTCAGCATCGAACTGCCGAGATATTCCAGATAGGTTTCAAGTGCATATAAAATGTGATTGGTTTTTAGCATTTATAAATATTAACTTATTACCAAATATTTCAACTGTGAGTAAAGATTGTAAATGACTAAATTGCAGCTAATTCGACACAAATAACATGTGTGCAAAATTTCAGATCAGTTGCTCACTCCAATTTTCAGAATAAATATTTCAATTGTGAAAAATGACCCAAAACAGAAGAGCATTGAAAAGCTTTTAACTTACATAGTGTTCAGACTAGCACAAAAATACGGGTTTAATTTATTTCTTTTATGTTTCTTAATTATCGTTTGCATATATGTATGTTTCACGTGCCCCAGGTGATTTTTTATAAGAAATTCAAATCTTGTTTTCAGGCTTTTTGAAGAGGAAGTATTATTAAAGAGTCTGTATGTTTTGTGATTGTATACCACCATTGCAAACAATTATAATGTGATTGTATATTATCATGCAAATAAAACAATTTTTTAACAAAGAATAATATGTAGAATATGTTCTGCAAATATTTTGTGAACATTAATAATTTAATGAATAAATTACATCATTCATTTCTTATTGGAAAAAATTTGAATTAGAATAAATTTTTATAGAAAATAAATTACTAATTACCTCCCTTTATTTACATGAAATCTTAAAAGTTTTTTATATCTTTATATAAATAATTGCTTATTGGAACTTACAATATTGACAAATCTTAATTTGAGGAATATTTATGAAGATCAAACCAGGAAAAAAAAAATGTGTTACAGGATCATTAACATCATCCTATTATAAGGTTAAACAAAAAATTTTTTAAAACACGCTCTAAGTTTAAGCTTCGGAAAATCCCGGCCCGTAATCTTATATTTGTCCCGTTTAGTTTAAAGGTTCAATAGATTGTAAATTTAAAGTAAATTGCTGACTTTTAATTTTTGGCTTCCTCTTTCATTGTACTGCCGATCGTCGGATACCCACGGTTTGATTACCATCTAACATAACCCTCTAATCATCTGATAAATGTTAATGGTTTCCGGTCGTGGGTTTATTCGACGATATGTCCTACCTTACGTTTGCTAATAAACAAAATTAAAATTATGCTTTTTATTCACTTAAACGTTTGCCTCCGGGTTTGTTTGGCGACGGGAGGGCCGGTGAAGCGGCGTCCGTCCTATCATGGAACGCTTTTTTATTTTTGGGGCCTAATGGAAGGAGCTGTTATTATTAGCAGTTAATTTCATGTTGTGTTAATAAGTTTTTATTTTTGATTCGTAAAATATCAAGTAAAACAAATGTGTTATTATAATTTGTATTTAATAACTTTTTATAAAAAGCATGTGCATTGTGATATTATTTTTCACGAAATTTCAGGTTAGTTTTTTAACAGCGTGTCCCTTAGTTTTAATGAAGCAATACTAAAAACCCGGATTTCGAATATCGTTTGTGGTCTAGATTGAGGGCCGTTATCAGTTTCATTCATTCATTTATTACCATTTTCAAATTTTCCTACAAGAAGAAAGTTCACCTGCAATTGAGTATAAGGAAATAGGTAATGGAACTGTTGTAAACGATTATCCTATTGATTTTTATCCTTATTACAATTTAATCTGTTGGAGCAGAATGGTTGTTTTTAACAAAGTGTACCAGTATCCGGATGGTTGAAAGCTAAATCCGATTTTCTGCAATTACTGCCTGACACATGGCCATCTATTTTTTTATGAAAATACATTACCATTAATTTGCATGGCTTGAATAAAACTGAACCTCAGCATTTCATAATTTTGCTGTTTTAGGGTTTCTTTTGGGTTTCAGGTTTTTCTTTATTTTAAGGGGAAGTAACTCATGTTTACTAAAAATTATTTGTTCTTTTCTGTCTAATCTTAGGTTATTACTTATAATACTATTTTTGTTGATATATAAATTTTTACCAGTTGTAAAGGTCATCAAAAAAGCATGTTAATGTTTAGGGATTTCCATATTTATTTAATATATAAACTGGGGAATTATTTAATGTTATGTGGGCATTACATGTATATCTTAAAGACAGTAGTATATTTGAATAATTGAGACTTATAAGTTTTCTTGAATTAAAGAGATACAGTTATGTCATTATTATTAAAGGGATGAGACTTTCCAAAAATTTTTAAAGTTATAAATGATAAAACATGTATTGATTGAAAATGTCCTTAAACTTGGGAATCAAGCAATGTAATTAATAAAGTCTCAAAAAATCAATATTCTGAATAGTTATTTCTAAATTTTTTTTTTTTCTAACCCATGGTGCATAGTTTGAAAAAAATCAGCTTCGGTCTTTATCTATTGTAAGGAAGAGACACCGGTCTCAATAACCTCCAGGTCTCCTGCATCAACCCGACAACAGACTGTACATAGAGTAGATTGTTACTTGCCTTGAATAAATTTGTGCACTAAATTTTATAGTGGGTGATTTGTGCCACAGTGAAAGAACCAACATAAGTATAAAAGTAACTGGGCGCCCAGAATGAAAAACATGAAAAATACAATCTACCACAAAGTGGTTTTTGTTGTTGCATTTTCATGTTTTTTTGCCCGGTGCCCTTGATGCAAAATACAAATCAGCCTTCGTAAAATTTCTTATGTTGGCACAGGTTTGAGTTTCTGGTCAAGCTCAAAGTTTTTTCTGCATCCTGTGAACTTGCAATATAAGCATGAGTTTTCAATTTCCTATGCTCTGTAACATAAGAAATTCACGAACAGCTAAATCGATATAGTGGGGAAATACTGTGTGGTTTTAGAACTGTTTATTATTTAAAAGAAAAATGTGTAGGGGGGAGGCCCAATAAACCCCAGTTGGTCTTCGAAATTTAAAAGGGGTTCGAGGGTTTTTAAAGGTCAAGGCAGTTTCAGTCCCGGGTTTTTTGGGAAATGGTTTTTAAAATGACACATGTTTGGGGTTCAAATTTTTAAAAGATTTTCATTTTTTTTAAAATGGACAAAGGCATAATTTTCATATTTTTTTAGATCTACAAAGGGCATTTGAACAGTTTTAACACACTATACTTCACATCGGGAAAAAGAAGAAGTTGTTTTTTCTTCTTCCCTTTAAAGAAACTTTTAAAGAACTGCCATATATAATTGACTTTTACATGGGTTTTTGTCTTTTTCTCTGATTTTGTAGCTGGTTTTATGGGCTTTTTTACTCATTTTTACTCCCGCTCTGGGGAAACCCTTTTTGCTGTCCCCCCTGATGTTCATTTTAGGTCCTCTTTTTTATGTCTATAATAATGTCATTAGGCATTGTTTTTTTCAAAACCCCTAAGCAATAAGCTTTTTATTATAAAATGCACAGGCAGCCCGAGTATCAGACCTTTTGGAAGAAAAAATATGGCCAAGATTGGATAAAAAAAAAGCCTGTGTTTCATCTTTTAAAAGTGTCAAGCAAACCAAAAATAAAATGTAAATAATGACCCCTTTAAAAATATACTTCAACGTTGATAGTATATTTTTAAAGGGGATCATTATTTACATTTTTTGTTTTTGGTTTTTATAAAACACAGTTTTTTTTATCAACCCCCCTTACATCTGGTCATTTTTTTTTTCTTCCACAAGTTTGTGCCGATACTCGTGCCAGTGATTAATATGCTGATGGAACTCAAGGAAATCCATTGTGTCTCTAAAAAAATTTGAAGAAAAAATTTTTTTCTTTTTAGCAAAAAGTCTTTTTTAAAGATTTCTTAATTGACTATAAATTGTCTTTTCCCTTTTTGGGAACAGAGTCTATTTTTCTTTGGTTTAAATTTAACTTTAAAATGGCCCTAGCCTCCAGGTTTACATGTAATTTGGGACTTTTCTTTAAAAGGAAAACCCTCTTTTTTTTAAGTATTTAGGTGCAAAAACGGATCAAAATTTTTTTTGGGGTCGCCCCCTGATGCCTTTGCATAAATGCTTTTCTTGTTTTTAATTTATTAAAAAGGTATTTTTGCCGCCAAAAAGGCCTTGGGGTTTTGGGTTTTTTTTGTTTTTAGCAATGTTTAAAATTTCCTAAATTAAAAAAATTATACATATATTTAAAATTTGTTAAAATATTTTTGGCATTTTCGGAAAACGCCCCCTC